TGTGATCTCTTCTCCTTTCAGGAAGATGCATAAGCTTGAAAGCTATAATAAAATCCTAAATGAATAATTTTTCCCCTCCATCGCCATGTGTTTTAAATGAGTTCGCTTTGAAATGCCTTCTGAAATGCTACTGTTGTAGTGAAGCAAAATGGTAGTAGGCACGTGTGCGCACGTTTCTTCTCTCTCAGTAGGCTGACACATTTGGGCACCCTCTCTCCTCTTTTCCCCCCCCCCCCCATCTTTTGTGTCCAGTTCAGTGATTCCACTTTACATAATGTCCTTTCACAGCACCTGATGAAGTGAACTCGAGTTTGTGAATGTTTGTGCTCTACATATATATTATTTAGTCCGTCTATAAGGTGCAGATCTACTCTGCCTTCCACCTTTGAAAACTCTTGGAGCCAGGTACTCGGCTAATGCAAATCAACCTAGCTCTGTAAACCTCAATGGATGGGCATCAATTTACACCATGTGAAGATTTGATCTCGAGTATCTGATCCTTACTCACTTGTGTACAGCTTTTTTTTTTTTTTTTGGCTTGACCCATCTTTAGCTGCCTTCCAATGGTTTGGGCATGGGTAGCTGGTATCCAGTATGTTTGGGCTAAGAGGTTAGGCAGGTAAGTCTCTCTTTAAAATAATAGGAAAGGACATTGAAAATCTCCTTCCTAAACCTGCTGGTTTACTTTTTAGTGGTGCTAAGGACCTGCACCAGCTACTCAGCAACATTTTGATAAAATCAAGCCAGAGTTTCCTTGACATTCACACGTCTATGGTCTCCTTCCCATTTTTATTCCCTGTGGATAATTTGAACCCTCTTGAGATGGACTTGTATGTTTGTAATTTATAGTTTTGAAGAGGGCTCTTTGCTACCGTTCAGTCCACAACAAGGAGTGGAGTCCCCCTGCCATGGGCAGATCTAGGAATTCAAAGAGTGGGGTGCTAGAGATGCAGCCAGCACTGCAGAAATGGCTGCAGCTGCTGCTGTGTGGGTAGTTGACAGTGTCACAATAGCAGATGCCAGGGACTTTGAGTCCTCAAAGCAGGGAAAACTCCCTCCTTCCCCTCCACCCTCACCCCTGTCTCCAGCAGGGTTTGCCTGGGGTTTGCTTCTGGGTGCAGGAAAGGGCATCCTACTTGCTGTTGTCGCTGTTCCTAGGTGACTCTGGGGTGGGGGAAGTTATGGCATTGCTGTTGTGCTCAAGCCAGGGTCTTCAGTGAGGGTGCTGGACTTAGCCAGGGACAGTGGCAGCAGCTGGTGTCCATCCCCTTCCACCTTTGTAGGCTTTTCTGTTCTCTGCCCAGTCCACCTGTGTGTCCCTTGTTGACTGGGAGCTGGTGCTGGAAGGTGAGACTGGAGTCACTGCCATCACCTGGTGGAGCCTGGCACCCTGCATAGCTGCTCCCTGCACTGGAAGCCCTGGGATGTTGGGTGGGGGAGGGAAAAGGGACCTACCCATTGCTGTTGCCACCGAACACGGCACCCTGAAGAGCTGCTCCTCACAGCCCCTTGGCTGGATTGTGGCAGGAGTGGTCCTGGAGCTCCTCCTGCCCTCAGGTCAGCCAGGGACAGTGCTTGTTCCTGCAGTTGTCCCACACCAGCCTGGGACTCTGGCTGTGTCTTGCAATCCTCACAGGACCTAGGCAGGGAATTGGAGCCACTGGCATCTGAGCTACACTGTGGAAGGGGTGGGGGATAAGACTGCATCCCCCTGGATCCACCCCAGCTCGCTCTCTTCTACCATGTGTGTCAGAGATGAATAACTCCATTGGAGTAGGTGTAATTACACTTGTGTATTTATGCTGAGGTGCATGGAGAATAAGGTCCATAGTCTCCCGGGCATGCTGGCTGCACAACTTTTGCTGTCTTTCCCGCTATATTCTCATATCTTGAGGGAACAGACTGAAAAGAATTAGGGTTAAAAGATTGGTTCATGATGCATCTAATCTGAGACCTAGGCATTTTCTTCTTGGAGTAGTGGGACTGTGGCTTGGCAAGTACATTTGTATGTCTTGATATTGGGGTTTTGTGTATTGCCAGTTAATGCAATCTGAATCTGGGCTGTAAACAGGGGTTCATAACCCTCCTTCTTTTATTTATAGCTAGGCAGGCAGTGGAGTCCTTGGCGATGGGAAGGCAGTGGTCCAAGCACGGTTTCCTGCTGTGATATGGTTTGCAGCGTGGGCCGTGATGACTACCAGAGTGCTATGCTAAATTCCATTGTGCTTCGGACCATATTAAATGCTTTCTGTCCAGTGCATGAACCAATAAAAATAAGTACTTGAGTCTGCAACCTCTAAATCTTATTTCCTCTCTCTGTTAAACATGAGGGCCATCTGGAAGGCCTGGCTTAGTGGATTACAGAACAGGGATGAATGATGAGAAAATATTAGATTGAATGCTCCAGCAATTTTACAGACCTGTTTTCGCGTCAGTAGACAGCTGTGGAACATCATCCTGACACATTTTTGAAGAACTAAGGCTAATTTTGTGTCCAGGTCCTCCACTCCCACCACAGCACTAGCAATGATAAACTCTTAAAACTTGCTTACAGAGCTGATTTAAGGATCCTGCCTTTTGGAAGGAATTTGAGGGCTTACGTGGTAATGCTGGTTAGCATGCACCCTTTTTGCTTTGGCTCCCGGTGGAGAGCAGGGGTGGTAATTGTGCCATTCTTTGCCTGCGGGGCACTGCGTGCTGCTGGCATTTCAGTGGCCTGACCTGAGGATCAGGTATCTTGCATCAGAGGGCTGTTGCAGCCCGGTTGCTGAGAGCTTCATTGTTTAAGTGAGAGAGGATGCTGCTGGTGCTAATGCCTTGGGCTAGAAGTCCAGGGCTGTGTCAGACTCCCTGCACATCCCTGGATGAAGTGCTTAATCCCTGTCTCAGCTCTCAGGTTGGTAGCAAAGTTCATGGAGGGTGGGGAGGGTCATGAGGATGCCTCTGTGTTTAATGTCTGTGTGAGATACTCATCATCCGCAATCCCTTGCAGGCAAGGATGACAACCGCGGTTATCAGGTTTATATAACTCTCATTTTCAATTCTATTGAGCTTCCTTGAGAGATGTTAACAGTAATAACCTTATGCTCTCAAATGACATGGGAGAAGAGCCTTTCCACCGTATGAATGACTCTCTCAAGACAGGTGGACCCTTTCACCCAGCACATCCCCTATCTTGTGTAGCGCCCGAAGACTTGCAATGAATCAACCCTTTAAACAAAGAAAATGAATAGAAGCACAAGCCCCCCAAAATCCCAAGTAAATTTTGAGCCCAGAGAATTGCAGAGAAAGTCTCATAGGCACTTTGCTGTTGCTGTCTGCTCTGCTTATGGAGGTATTGATTTGCGGTCTGTTCGTCCCACTTCCACTTTCTGAGTGGCAGTGAGAAGAGGCAGGTCCTGACTGCTCCCTCGTTGCAGATATGGTGGTCGTAGGTAGCTGCATAAAGCCCAGGACTGGTACCTGCTTTGATATTCCATGATTGGGTGGGGGGGGAGCATTACTTTTCAAGAGACCTACTTCTCTCCTATAGGCCACAATGTGACCATTATTGTTTTGATATGCATTTAGACGACCAAGAATCGAATTGCCCTTGAAACATTTTTGAAACTTGAAGTTGGTCTGAATTTGATTATTTCAGTCTGATGTGTTCTGCTGCAATTCAGCTGTTTGCTCCCGCTGAGCCTGTCTTTGTACTGCATGAAGTTAGCGTGCAGGATTTGGCCCTTTATCTGAATTGCTGCCATAGCAAAGAATTCCAGTTGCCCATTTTGCATTTGCTTTCTTGTGTACGCACACTAAGCGCACAGCACACGTCAGGAACTTGTACATAGCCATGCTGAAATGCTTTTAATAAGTTCATTCAAAAGGAACTAATACGCGCTGCTTCCTAAACAGCTGCTAAACTGAATGGAAATGTTTTCATACAGCGCTGAGAGCCTGTTAAAGGGGAACATCTGCAACATGCCGTTTTTTTGTTGGCACTTCCCAACCCACTTTTCAATGAGTTCTTGATAGAAGTACAGACCTGTTAGCGGAACCCGTTTGCCGAGCAGTAGGCCCGTGTAATCCCATAATCTCTGTATCCTGAGATTAAAATTGAAAGGCTCATGTGGCTTTTGATGAAAGGGTTTTACAGACATCAAATGTCTGTGATTGCACTCCCCTGCCCTTCACAATTTTGAGTTCTGAGTTCAGGATTCCTGGACACTGAAATCTTAAGGTTGATTTTCTGTGTTTAGTGTTGAAATGCCTTTTACTAAGAAGTCACCTAAAACTGACCTGCATCAGAGAAGCAGCATAGATATGTGGACTAGAGTCATGGTGTAAGAGTAAAGCCCTCATGTGAACGCTATCACACAGATACAAATAGGCCCCATAATGGTGTAGCTCATATTGTTCCCTGAACTGAACTAAACTATACCAATATAATCACTTTTGTACCAATATAATTGCAGCCCTATTAGAGGCATTTGCTACTTCACTGTCCAAATACACAGCAATGAGGTGGTTACTGCTCCAGATAGCTTATAACCACATTGAAATAGTGAAAGTGTCACCACATTTTTAGTATCCTTTGGCGTGTTAAAATGTTGCTCGTATGGAGTAGGGAAGATGCACTACAGCATTATTATATAATGAACTGCTTCACTTATATAGCACGAGTGAACTGGTAGTTACAGGATATTAAAGACAGTCTAATGGTTTAAGCACTGAATTTAGGTTTAGGTACCGGAACTGGGTTTTCTCCCTTTCTTCAGAGGCTCTTAGCATGTGATGTAGGGCAAATCCACATGGGCCAGGCCTTGAAAGGTATCGGGCAATGTGAACTTGTAGACAGGCAGACTTCTGAGAGAATCTAGTGTATGTTGCATGCTGCGTATTCCCATTAGGGTTCATAAAGACCTGCTTATTTCTCTAATAATTACCAACAAGGTAATCCTGCCTTTGTTCTCCTGCTTGGATTGTAACTTACCCTGTTCTTTTTCTTTTTGCTGCAGAGGAGGTGGTGGAAGGGAAAAGTGCTATTCTCATTGGCATGAGTCAGTGGAACTCAAATGACCTGGTGGAGCAGATTGAAACTATAGGAAAGCTGGAAGAAAATCCAGGTAACCTTCAACTTTCTGTATTTATTTATTTACCTTAACAGGGAAAAATTGCTGTATCAGACACCCGATGGCTTATTTTGTTAAGACATCTGGTGCAAACGCTGTTTGCAATGTCCCCTGGTGTAAATGGTGTTGTGCTTAATGAGCATTGGTGTGTAGCTCTTAATGATTTTCTACTGTTAAAATAATTCAGATAGTATTTCTGGAAAATGCATCCTTTGGGGCAGACTATTCACATGGGTTTGATAACTTCAGTGGGTTTTGCTGGAATGCAGAATTCTACGTGCAGAGGAATAGGAGGCGGCATCGAGGTTTGTGCTATGGTGATGGGCTAAGATAATATGTAGCTCCTGTTTATATCATGCGTGTGTAACAGCAGTGGCTCTTGGTGTGGGCATAGTGATCGTAGTGATGCAGTCAGCTCATTGCGCAGGACCAGACTCTTGTACTCTTACTTGGGTCTGCACCTTGCTCTTCTGAAGTCAGCTAAATTATTTATGGAAAAAGATCTCAACTTTTCAAAAGCAACCTACAGGCATTGGTCACCTAGGGTGTCTTTACACATGGTTCAGGGTGGGGGGGCGCTTTAATAAGTGCGGCTCTCAGGAGCCACTTCAATTAAAGTGCTTGCAGCATCTCATGTATTCAGCATCCTGCACTTCAAAATGACAGTGGGAGTGCTTTTACTAAAGCTCATTCGACAGACTTTAGTTAAGGCACCCCCTCTGCCAATCTGAAATATGAGGACATTGAATGCACGTGACCGCCAAGGCTGCTGGAGCGTGCTAATTAGCAAACGCTTTCTAATAGGAATGTGTTGGAGCAGATGTTGGGCACGTGTATTGGTGCCCCCTAGGGCTTATGTTTTCTAAAGCCCCAAAGAGCTAGACTTTTAAAGGTGGGTTGCACTTGCGTTCCTATGAAATCATTGGCAATAAGACACCCAATATCATTTAAAAATGTGCCTGAAAGGTGAAGCTCGAAAGGTGAATTGCATCAAGAGGTGAAGCTCGTAAGTCATAGTTTTTTTTAAATGTTACCCGAACCTCCTGCTGGCTTGTGCACCCAGGCCACTTTATGAAGATTTTACCGTAGGGTATTGTTTGGTATTGGAATCTGGCTTTGAGAGATTTTGATAAATTTGTTCAGGTGATTGTAGACTAATTAAATGATGAGCTGAATATCATTAAATTTCGAGAGACAGTTTCTGTTTAAATTGAAGGGAATTTATTTGCCTTTGTCATATGGCTCCCTAAAAGTTTTTGAGTGATTGTGTATTCTTGGGTTTTGTTTGCCGGCTTTTGAAAGGCTTTTGTTCCTTCTTTGTTTATTCAGCTGACTTTTAACGATAGACTAGGCTCTCTTAGGGTGTAGGAAAAATAAGCAATAGTTTTCTCTCACCTTATGTATTCCCAGTGCGCTCTTGTGCTGCAGGTACTTTGGCTAATATTTTTCATTTAGTGAATTTTTGAGTTTCATCTCCCGGTGATTAAGGGTGCAGACTGAGGTGCAGCTCCCAGCTGTAACTCAGAACAACTTCTGCAAAGCGTTCTGAGTTGCAGCCTTACCCAAGACCTTGCAGAAGTTCACTGTTGGTTCCAGGGCAGAAGGGAGCCCGCAGCCAGGGTCGCATAACAATGGCCAGGGCTCTTTGCCAGTGCTCTTGTTTTCAGCATGGGCAGAAGGGGAAGGGGAGGTACAGCAGAGGGAGCTCGTTATTGGGGCTCCCCAGCTGGGGCTAGAGGGTGGGGTGGGTGAATTGGAGCCCTGCCCCCACCTCGGGCAGGAGGGCCACAGTATACTTGCCCCACCTTCCAAGCGGGGCTGAAAAACCCCTAAACAGAACTCCCTCTGCTCCCTTTCCTTCCCTCCCATTCTGAAAACAGCCATAGGCTGGGAGCTGAGCAGACAGAAGTTATGAAAGCCACTACATTTTGTAACATCTTTATCTGATACCCTTTTGCGATGAGGGGTCAGATTTTCACCCAATCAGCCATTTTTGAAGCTGTTTGCAGCCATGCACTTGTGTTTGGTCACAGCTATGAGCTGTTTTTTTGTGGCCAGATCAGGCAAAAATTGTCACTCCTTTCTGTACCTTGACACATGGACCAGATGACCCAAGTGGCGTGTTTTTTAACTATTAAATGGATAGTGACAGATGGAAGAAGCCATCTACCCTTGGGAGTGGCATTAAGAGGCCCTTCTAGTTGCTTGGTAACTTGCTTCAATTGGAGTGACAGATTCAGTTGGGTTTTGTAAGAGATGCTTGCTGAAGCATAAGCCTCTTTTCTTGACTCCAGGCAAACGAGATAAATGAATCTAAATACAATATTATGAGCGAGATGCTTTTTATTTTTAATGCCCATGTTAAGGCTGGTCAGCCTGGACTGCACTCCTAGTCCTGGATTTCCTTCAGAACTTGTGAGCTTTTAATATACTAATTTCCATATTATGGTGTTAGATCCTAGGATAGTGTTGCTCATTATTGCTAGTGCCCCATTTTTCACCTTAGGATACTGAAGCACAGGGAAATTATCTCCTCCAAAGTCGCACAGGAAGCCGTTGAAAGGGTTGGGAGGTGAACCCAGGTTTTCAGTACTACACCTGACCCCCTGACCCTCTTGCTGTCTTAATTGAGGAGCTTTTTCTTTTTCATTCTGTGACCAACATTGAGCTCTCAGGGGCTCATCTCTTCTCCTAGCTCCGGTCCTGCCTTGCTTGGTCCTCACCTTGTTTGCTTTAAGGAGGAACTTGGAGGACAACTGATCTTGCTGGACCATCATTTGCAAACAGTTTCATTTATAAAATTTGGCTATGTCTAAATAAAACTTCACAACATGGTAGCTTGCTACCATGAGTGGGGACATAAGACTTTGCTTTCGATGATGCACGGGCACTGAGCAGCTCTCGTTGCAACCAAAGTCAGTAGGTGCAGAGGGTCCGAAAGCACATCTGAAAATCTGAACTAATATTGCAGCAACTCACTCATATCAGGCTGTGGTTTTCACTCTCTCTACAGTGTGAAAGGAAATGGAGCAACAACTGTAACATGCCCAGCCTGCTAGGAATTGTCCTTGATTGGACACCTGCTATATTCATCTGATTCAAACTAGGCTAGACGCCTCATTGCATCTTTTTTCCCCCCCTCTTGAACTCTCCCATGTTATACTGTGTGGTTCAGTTCTATTGATTAGCTGCCCATTGATTTTTTTTTTTTTTTTTTTTTTTTTTTTTTTCCTACTGTGGAATTATCTGCCAAATGCTTACAGATCTTATCACTATGTTTGGCTGCAGTTAATTATACAGTGCTTTTGTTAGAGACTGAATTGCATTACTGATTATGGAATTTTAGAGCTCCTTTTTCCGGCTAGTAACTACAAAATACAAATAATAAAAGCAAAGAACAGGCAAGGTATATTTCAGGAGCTATATTATTTTCTGAGGGACTATGTTATTTTCTGAAATTAGCTGCAGTAGTAAGACATTTCAGTCTTCATTACAGTCAAAGCTTGCTGCTTTTTTTTTTTTTTTTTTTTT